CTGGGTTGATCCAGTCCTGTCCTGGGACTGATCCAGTCCTGCCCCGGGACTGAGCTGGGTTGATCCAGTCCTACCCCGGGATTGATCCAGTTGTGCCCTGGGACTGATCCAGTCCTGCCCTGGGACTGAGCTGGATTGATCCAGGACTGTCCTGGGACTGATCCAGTCCTGCCCCAGGACTGAGCTGGATTGATCCAGGACTGAGCTGGGTTGATCCAGTCCTGCCCCGGGACTGATCCAGTTGTGCCCTGGGACTGAGCTGGATTGATCCAGGACTGAGCTGGGTCGATCCAGTCCTGGCCCAGTCCTGCCCTGGACTGATCCAGTCCTGCCCTGTGACTGACCCAGTCCTGCCCTGGGACTGAGCTGGATTGATCCAGTCCTGTCCCGGGACTGATCCAGTCCTGCCCCAGTCGTGCCCAGGACTGATCCAGTCCTGCCCCAGTGGTGCCCCAGTCATGCCCAGGACTGATCCAGTCCTGCCCCAGTCCTGCCCCAGTCCTGCCCAGGACTGATCTAGTCCTGCCCCAGTCCTGCCCCAGTGGTGCCCCAGTGGTGCCCAGTCCTGCCCCAGTCGTGCCCCAGTCATGCCCAGGACTGATCCAGTCGTGCCCAGTGGTGCCCCAGTGGTGCCCAGGGCTGATCAGCCGTGCCCCAGAGTGACCCGGGCGGATGCGCTCCAGCCCCTGGTCAGCGGGCAGGGAACTCCCCCCTTGTGGCCGCGGTGTGGCCGAGCTGCAGCGGCCGGAGCTGTGCCGGGGTGGTGCCGGGAGGGCAGGGGGGGGTCAGGGGGTCCCGGTGCCCCCGCCCTGACCGGGCAGCCCTTGTCTCGCTACAGATGGCGGCTCAGAGGCAGCGGGCACTGGCCATCATGTGCCGGGTCTACGTGGGCTCCATCTACTACGAGCTGGGCGAGGACACCATCCGCCAGGCCTTCGCCCCCTTCGGGCCCATCAAGAGCATCGACATGTCCTGGGACTCGGTCACCATGAAGCACAAGGTGGGACGGGGCGTTCTGGGGGTTCCCACGGGGTGGGACCAGAGGGGTTTTGGGGAGTTCTCACACACACACACCATGCTGGGGCTCGGGAGCTCTGCACAGAGCCTGGCAGGGGCTGGCTTCCCGTGTGGCAGCAGGGGCTGGTGCTGATGCCCCAGGGATGGGGCGTTCTGGGGGTTCCCACAAGGTGGGACCGGCTGGGTTTTGGGGTGTTCTTCCACACACACACCGTGCTGGGGCTCGGGAGCTCTCACAGAGCCTGGGCACTGTCCTGACAGGGGCTGGTGCTGATGCCCCAGGGATGGGGCGTTCTGGGGGTTCCCACAAGGT